GGAAGTGTGTATTTATGCGGTAATCATAAAAGGTCAATGCATCATCAAGTTATCTGAAATATGGATACAAGTGTCGAGTTCCATTTCAAATTTATGTTCCTCAATTTGGCCAAAAATGTATCCGCTGGTATGAGACCTAATGGAGACCCTATGACTAAACCCTCCAATTGTTTGCAGAACAGGTCACTGTACCAAAATAAACACTGTATTCCAAATGTGCATCTGTGAATCAGCTCATTCAATTAGTGTGAATAATCTGCTGCATTTATGCGGGAAGACAAAAATAGTCTAGTTTAATCAGGGTTTTAGGATGCATAAAATGAGAGTTGGAGGGTGAAGACGGAGATGTTCCAACACTGACCGCGTATTTGGTGATAATCTCTTATGGAGTGTGAATATTTGACTGAAATGTTAGGTGGGGACACTTCGGACACATGGCCATGGGAGGGAGAGGGATTTACCGAACTGTTTGTGTGCACATAGTGAAGGGTTGTTTATTCTAATCTCTACCGCCTACGCTGTAGATAGCAATCGGGCTTTCGCATCCTTAGACCGAATCCCCATTAGTGAATAGATTCGACGGAACGATTCCCGCATGCGAAGATGGCTCCCAGAAATAGAATATACACCGAAAGAATAAGTGGACAAGACTATGTATCACCTATCATAGTTTTGTCCCGATGCAGCGTAAGCGAAGTGTAGTAGTTGAAGGGCGCACTGATCACGAATCACGTAGTAGAAATCACGAGTGACAGGTAAGCATTGAATCACACTGGCACTTGCACGACGGTATCCTGCGTAACGGAGACTCAAGAAAATGCCACAGAAGTAGCAGTTCATTTATTAAAAGAAATCATGGGGTTTAAATAATATGTACAAAGGAAGTTTATTGGTCATTCAGGCATCCACAAATTGCTTGCTCGTATTCCTAGTGTCGTACAGCTTCTGTCTGGGTCGCATGACTTCTAATTGGTGGGTACCATCGGCCTGTGATTTGTAGTTTAGAGAATGTAACGCGAAAGCGCTTTGCTGGCGTCACATGACTCATCACAGTTGTCCGGAAATCGTAACGTGTTGCCAAGTGGTTGGCGTCATCCCGTAAGCTAGGATCACCACACGATGCCTAATCCAGTGTATCGCCAATCACGTAAAAAGACTTTGTTCTACTTACACAGATGGTGAATTGGCAACAGTTAAGTCAACGCTTCTAAAAAGCGAATACCCAGAGGAAATTATGGATCGTTGTATGAGAACCTACATTGCAAAATCTAACGGAGAAGAAAAACGTTTGCATTTTATTTCCCTTCAAAGGTAACACTTGCGAGGACGATGAGCAAAAGACTAAGGAGTGTAGCAAAAAATAATTATAGATGTAGGATAGATAGAGGACAGGCTAGTGATGGAGATGACCACATTTAGGATCTACCAGTTTTATTGCTTCTGCGGCGCAAGTTACATAGGTCACACCACAAGACGCTTAGCCGATGGAATGAGAGAACATCACCCAACTTGGCTCAGTCGGGGACCGATAAGAGTAAGTGCAAGTGCGGATGCCGAGACTAATCCCATCGCGGATATGCGGGAATCGTTCCGTCGAATCTATTCACTAATGGGGATTCGGTCTAAGGATGCGAAAGCCCGATTGCTATCTACAGCGTAGGCGGTAGAGATTAGAATAAACAACCCTTCACTATGTGCACACAAACAGTTCGGTAAATCCCTTTCCCTCCCATGGCCATGTGTCCGAAGTGTCCCCACCTAACATTTCAGTCAAATATTCACACTCCATAAGAGATTATCACCAAATACGCGGTCAGTGTTGGAACATCTCCGTCTTCACCCTCCAACTCTCATTTTATGCATCCTAAAACCCTGATTTGACTATCTCCCCGTGTTAATTCCCTGAGTTGTCTAATGTGCTGTAATTGGACGGAAGATCAAGCACTGAAAGCATGCTTGTTCACCACATCTCTGTTTTTCTAGGATCAATATACTGGAATTATTTACTCACAATCTAGTTTTATATTTAAACTCATAAATATTATATGTAATTTACGGTACAAGAACTACTTACGAACGATCGAAATTTAATCAATGTTGGCTTGTGAAATCTTCAAAACTATGATTCTTCACAATCAAGCAACAGCAGGTCTTCCCCCGTCGAAACAAAGGCCTATTATTGGTTTCCGTATCATAATGCAACCAAAGAAATCTACTGACAGCGTCCAAGCAAAAAAATACGCCTCACTCTTTTTTTTCCAGTTGCTTGTCGCGTTTTGTATTTGATGGAGTAAGCGCGAAAGATTTGGTTTACGAACGAACAGTCGTCTGCTACCACTATCGCCTCTGTTGATCACGGCACGTTTACTGTTTAAGTACTCACTTTGTCCTGTCAAATTATTCGAGCTGGAAAACCAAAAATTATCACATATTTTACACGGATGCCAATGGAACTCGACATTCCCAGTGAAACTAATTGGTGATTTATTTCCAGTTTAGCGTAACATGTGAACTTCTAAGTTTGTGTACACCAAGAAATATTCATTTGAAAATAGTATCCCTTTCCTGAAATTGAATTTCACTTTCTTGAAACAAAGTGGTTCTAATTTGTCTAGGTTTCGAATTCACTACAGAGATCATCAGGTTCGGTTCGAATTAGGTAACTTGTGAATGGAAATGAACAGGACCGCTGTATCCATGTAGTGAATATGTAAGTTATATTTTCACTCATATTGGAGCCGGGTTTGTGCTTCACTCTCTCCCTCTCTTTCTTTCTTCCTTCTATTAAACAGTTTACGACGTCTTCCACTCTTTCGCTGGTAGACTATCTTCGTCAACAACCAATGATTTTTGAGGTTTACGGACACCAAACAGATCCCACTGCTAGTGAACGCCCCCTATCCCCAACCAGGTATCTGTCAAGGTAATTTTTTGCTGAGTTTACTCAAATGAGTTTTGTAAATAAAACTTTTTTGTCTTTGGTTACTTCCAGGCTACAGTCAGTTATCAGTCATTCTAGGTCTGTAGTATGATCGATGAATGATTGGTGACGAAGGAGTTCATTTTTTGGCTTTCTTAAATAAACTTATAGTTGTATAAGTTCAAAGCTAAACGGATTAACTAGTTACCTCGAAGTTGTAGCTTGATATGATCTGAAGTGGATGAAGCGTTGATTAAAATTGAACTTCAATACAAACCCCAAGTTTGCATAACTATTTTAGTGTTATCATAGGCCAAAGCAAAACGCATCACCCGGGTTACCTTACAAATAAGTTCCTCTAATATAATTGCAATTTTTACCTATCAGGAAAGACGCATATTATTAAATGAAACAGCACTAAATTCAGCACTCTTTTAAACGGTGCGAGAAACGAATTAGCATTTTGAAATTTGATGAAGTTCGTATTATCGCAGATGAACCAGAATGGAATCAATTTCACTAATCCACCAATTAAGCGCGCGAGTAAACTTTCATATGTGATCATCGGAGCAATGAGCTATGCTATTGGTGCAGATGCAATTCTACATTTGGACTTATTCCTAGCACAGATGTTGGCATGGGATTCATCTTGATGGGCCCCAGGTTCACGTTTCAGCTGTGAATTCCAGGAGTGATCAGGTGGGAGTGGTTCTCTGGAATCGAACTCACACCGTATGGAAACATATGAAATGTTCTAACATTACCTAGATTTGTCTCTTCTAAACGGAAATAGACATCTCCAACTATTTAGAACCAGTAATTTTTTGATATCGAGTGAAAGCCAAAAATGGTTTCAGACAGATAAACACGGAATGAATGTTAGTATGCTTAAAGTCGTATATTTCCGAACTCAAAGGTCGAATGCGCAGGTTGCCAGTTCAGTGAATCTGCTTGAACTCTACGCATGAGAATCTCAGTGTGACCCTCATAGGAGTTGCGTTGGCCTACTGGCTTTGCTATTCGACGATTTAGGATATATATATGTATGCGCATGAGGAAATCTCGTACACCAAGAAGTCAGTTCCCCAAACGGCTAAATTACAGTTCTCATTCTCACTGCTGAAGACGATCAGAAGTTAACAATTTATGGTAGCTAGCACATATTTCAGTGTAGGATAAACTAAGCTCTTTTGCAGTATTGATTGACCTTACCACCTAGGCTGTCCCAAAAACGTCTATTTGTGTTGCATTCAACACACAGGTGTACACGCGCGAGCACAGATTGGAGAGAGTCTCTGCACGGATACCCATGTGCACCAGAACTGGGTTCACGTTACACAAACTGAACGCTGATGTTATGTAATTTATAGCTGCTGGTTCGGTTGGCATTAATCAGACAATCTGGGCCATTTCAGCATCAGATAATTTGGTGTTAGAGAATTCCTGATGCATATAAACATATCCATAGTAACGGTGTAATGGAAACGTACTCTGAGCTCTTCCGGCACAGTGAAGTAGGCAGAAATGCGGTCGTGTTCTTGCAGATGGAGACGATACGAGGCTTGGCGGGTGGCGGACGACTGTGGGAAAACGGCGGAGAGGTAGAGAGTTGACTCGGGTACGCGGTTTCGAGGAAACATTAGCAGACAGGTTCTCTATGGGTCGAGGTTGAAGAGAAAACCTGTAAGGTAAATAAGCAGGACGACATGAACCAAAATGGTCCAGGATCACGGTGCAAAATTACTGGTACGGTTTTCAAACGTTACAAAAGCATTGTGTAATTGGTTTCGTTTTCTGGGAAAACCTGGCGACACAAATATCCCATAGTCGCTCACCAAACAAACTCTGGAGAGATACAGGTGAGATAGACTATCATTGTCAAAGATGTTTAGTTGACCCTAGTTACACAGTTCCCTTTGATCCTTTCCGTAGTCATTATTCCATATTTTTATGTGCAGTAAGTTGATGGTTTTGCAAAAAAATATGCATTCAAAATTATTTCTCCTATAAACATTCTCTGAATCAATTTAAAGTAAACCATCTTTTCTTAATCGCCTCCTCCAACACCAAAATGTTTTAGGCGATTCCGTACTTTAGTACCGCCAACACTACCCATATCCTCACCTGTGCCTCCCATGAAATTGAGCAATATGGACGCGTTAAACAGGTAAGTGGAAACCATTTGTACAATGCTATTAAGATCAACTGATTAGCATGATTTATCGATACTTGTTCATCTGCTCATCAAGTTTTGTTGACCTGTGTGTCAAACTGTTGTTAAACTGATACCAATGAGTAGTAGTACCAGTGGTATATGAATGACTGAGCAAAAATGCCCTGGAATCACATGACTGATTTTTCTGACATGGTCGGTGAGCTTTTTTCGAATCAATCGTGTTTACAAAAAATATGTATATGAGCATGCAAGTCCTAAGCCAAACACAGATAGAGGCTTAGCAACACATAGAAATGGTAAATATGAAAGGAATTCAGAGCTCGAAGTAAATTTTATTCAACGTGAATCTCTGCAAATGCGTCTGTGTATGATTTTGCGTGATTCGTAAAGCACACTGTAAATGTCATTTGCATCTGAATGCACGGAATTGGATTGCGTTGAGCGATGAATTCGTAGTACGCCTGATCAATTTCGTGGTCAATTTCTGTCACGATGACGGAGCGACAAAGAGAACGTGTTTATCAGGTCCATCCTTCGAGGAAACGTCGTACGACGGCCGTGGTCGATCTATGCGATGCAATTCAGACATTTGGGTCACGCGTAATGGTTGCTTCATGTACGTACTTTAGAATGTGTTCATTCATAAACGGTAGCACAAATATCATAGTATGACAATAAACAGCCGATCTCGGTCACTGGTAAACATTTTCTGAATGAAGGAAAAATAAACGACGTTCAAATGCTGTTACTGTCATTGTAGTGGCAAAATTATCCAGGCTTTTGGAAAGCTTCCAGTTCAAAATGGTTAGCTTTCAATCTTTATCTGGCAATTTTGGTAAGCAATCTGAAGTAGGACCAAATTTAAGTAAAAGTAGGTGGTATTTAGCTTCACGAGTAGCTCAAGTTCTCCGTGTGTCTTACGGTTCCGGGAGCTCACTCTCCTCCTTCTCTTCCTCCTGTACCATCACCACCTCTCCAGATCGATATACTAAATAGTATTTGTTCTATTTTATAAATATAAATCACAAAACAATTGCTCCTTAACGTGTCTAACCGTTCCAGTTCTTCAAGTGTGATGGTATCGATTAGGTTAAAAGAAAAAGAAAATGGATAGATAATTAGCTGCCAGTTGATACGCCTTCCACGTCATTTTCAGGTTGGACATGAAAATCTGACTGGAATTGATCAAGCTGGGCAATTGCTCGTTTCCGCATACACACATGCCAGAGAAAAGCACAATACTGCCCAAGTATCTGCGAAAAATGACAGCCCTGGATTGCCTGGCGCAAGTTTGTGCACGCTCCTTCTCCCACTCTTGATGCGCATCCTGCGTGAGGTTGTATGCTACCGATGCTATCGTTTATCGGTGGTCGCTAGTTAGAGGTTGACAGCAGTTCTAAGTTGAACAGAGGTGGGCGGGGGGGACATGTATAGTTCCTCCCGAATCTATCCCATTTCTTCAGACACACGGAATCACCTGTGCGACAAAAAGGTGTGTCAAGAACACCACTCATGTTGCATCCAACCTTCGGAGTCACATAGTTTGTTAACCACAGCGAACAGATGATACATTTTGGTATTGTCATACTCAGCATTCACGACTTGTGTGTCGTCTACGCCTAAAGCAGGACAACACGTCTGTGACAGTACTTAAGCAGTAGATAACATTGACTACAGCTAAGCACTTCACTCTGATTTTCATTACCCGTTCTCACAATTTGGGTTACTAGGCATTCGTCAATTCATGGACTTACTATCCGAACTTTTTTCTCCATCAATGAGGGTAATCCCGAGATTCAATTCACTTATATACTCAAAACTACTGCCAAAGAACTTGTACGGTGAAGCTAAAGAATCCCGTCGTATTTGATTAAAGAAACATGAGCAACATCGAGGTGGGTGGAGTCCTGGTAACTATAGACGGCACAAAGTGATCTGGCTCAGAGATTTGAAAGCCTTTTTGTACCGCGCTTAAGTAGTAGCCACGTCTACGGTTATGGGCATATTGACTGTGGTGTTTCCCTCATTGCCTTTTCATCATTTCATAGCTTCCAACAAACACATGGAATGCACTTGAGGTAATCGACGGAAAGAGGCTGAAGAAAAGGGGGCGGGGGTAAATATCATACCAAATTTCTACCCTCAATCACAAAATTGGGTCGTTTGTGAAACTATCATAATATCACTCCAAATATGGTATGCTTAATAACGGTGTTTAAGTTCAGCTTGGATTCGAGGCTCGTCAAACTTGTTTTCACATGTTCTGCTGTTATCATGTGAGATTATTTTGTTTCAGATTGACGCAGTTAACCTACACAAGGTAGATCGACCTAGGAGGTTTAAACAAGTGATTAGTTACCATAGCTTGTATAACCGATCGTGTACAGACAACCGTCAATTTTTTTATCAAACCGAATGACACGAACCCCATTTACTTTGATTCTTAGTTTTAATAACTTAAGGTATTAGAACATCACCAACTACTTGCGTTCAAATGTCACACGGGCAGCTTAAACTGGTAGTATTAGTAGCGGTAGTAATCTCAAAGCCGTATTTATTTTGGTTTCAGTTCCACTTTGGTTCGCCGTGAAGACGTCCTTGTTTGGTTTGAAATTCTGGAACTGGATGCAAACGGCGAGTAAGTGCACCTCTTGCATTGACCCCCAAACCAAATACTATAGGAATAGTGTTTTGTATTTTTATCGGAATGATTGAGTCAGTTGATTTTGAAATTTCCATGTGAATCCAATTCTGCTTGCGGAACTCTAGAATAGATAATGTATATTAATTCAGTGAGAAATATAATCGAAAGAAAAATATTTTCCAGTTGAAAACCGCCTCTTTCTGGGCACGTAAGAAATCATTCCAAACCTGTATCTCATTGCCAGAGTCCTGCTAGTATTGCAAGACGCTATCTTTAACCTCAAATTGGAATAATCTGGTTGGTCCTGCATCAAACAACGTGGACTTAAACTGGAGAGACAGGCAGCCTTGTACAGCTATTCGGATACGGTCGGTTACTTCCCTCAACATTCATTGGTTATTTTTATTAAAGATTGAACCGAATAGATCATATGCTGATGTATTATTCATTTTGACATCGATTAGTTGGATGTACAGACACATTTATTCCGAGCGGCAGTTAGTATTCCGTTGCCGGCGTTATCCTCATCCTCATCCACTGTGCTGCAATATTTCGAATTTGATTTTCAAGAACATCAGTATGGTTGGAATTGGGTTGCGTTGGTTGCAATTTGTCATTTTCCTCCGGTACCTCAATAAATAACCCAAAAAGACAAAGTGATTTAAATAGCCTCAGCTGAGAAAGTCCCGCCTACTGCCGTCACACAGAGATGTTCACTGGTCAATGTGATAAGACGAAAGGGTAAAACCGCGGAGCCATAACTGGACGGGTGAAATACTGATAGTTCATCTAGAGAATTTGGCCAAAAGCCACAGGTTCTGGCAGTGACCATCTGTGTGATGGCGCATCCAGGTGTTGGGGCATCAACGATGTTTGGCTCTATTAAAAGGGAGTAAAATCCGATGAACTGGACACGGACAATGAATTGAGGAGGTATAACTTCAGCCTACGACCTGTTAGGCTTGAAATTTTAGTCACAGAGTTCTAAAGGAGACTCAAATCTCAACCCCCTTCTTTGGTTAAGACCATCCACAAGTGTTATGCTTTCACACCTTATGACCGAATCATAAGCTTTTTTACTTTGTCCTCTTCCATGCAGTCGAGTGTATCGAAATACAAATGAATGATACAAAATATGGTGATGCTGTTATAGCTGAACTTCCCTGTTTAGGAAGAACACAAGTCACTGAACTGGATCGGGCTGACTATCATTATGTCGAAACGATTTACTGGGGTAATGTCGATAGCGAAACCAACCTGTCACGTGACACCCGATGCAAGTGAGCTGCGGCACGATTTGAGCTCTCATCACAGATGCAATTTGCTATGATTTACAGGAAAAATGAGAGACCACTCTAGGTACATTCCCTTCCATTAGTTCATTGGTATACCTTCTTTCTATGTAGGAGGGTTCTCGTTCGAGTCTCAGGGAGTTTGATTGACGCCTGCTACTAATATTGGGTGCATTAGAATTCCAGTGATGTACTATGTTCACTTACCTACTTCATGTTTCCATTGTGGTCGACTAAATTAGCTTGCTTTATTTGAGTGATTGATTCACGGGGTAATGTATTGTTGTTCTATGGTTCAAGCTTTCATTCCTTCTGGTTTTATGTTTTGATTCTGTTGTTATGTCAATGTATCAATAAGTTAGAGGAGTTGTGCGCTTAAAGATTAAACACTCAAGTTTCTGTTCTAACAGATGCAGTTGGATACTCAAAAATTTTACTAGAGATGGAATGTGAATATTTCCTATTTTCTGAAAAGTGTTGATATCACAACCTGGCACGTAATTTACCTTAGCTTGGGAGGAATAATATCAAAACGTATACAAAGAATAACTGTTTGTATGTGTAGACTCAAGAACAATAATTTACATAAACTTGTTGCAACTTTGTTTTAACTTCTAGTTACTCTCCCGTCCCTGTTGATCGATTGGACGAGGCTCCGTGCCAGGGTGTGTTTCTTATACACCAGGGCTTGCAGAGACGTCTGGCAATCACGCTCATTCATGAACCATACCCGACGGGCACGGAGCAGTTGTTATGCAACACACCAAGCCTGTTGTTTTTGGACGTGCACGAAGTGGTCGTGGGTCGGGTACGAGAGACACCGGAATGGCTTGATTCCGATGGCAATACTAGAATTTTGTCATTATCGTTGCTACCGGCACGCTATTTCCCTCAAGCTGGTGATGATCGGTGAGTATGAGGTTCACATAGTCGATACTCTGTTGTTTATTCTGAGACCTTTTGTGTTTCCTGTTCATCCAGTAAACTGGTAACATTTATAAACAGGTTTCTCTTTTCGAATGCTGCAGTCTCCTTGTAAAGCGAGAATGACCAAACGTGCCTCATATGATTCGAAATAATAGATCATTTATCCACCAGAAATCGGTATTGATCTGCATTTAGAGTCGTTGGTTCCAAGGGTACCCACAACAATGACCCTAGAACTCATTACTGACGACCGACCATAGTTACTTTGTAAATACCCTCGCCAGAACTGTTAGCTCCGTTTCAAGACATGCAATCAATTTTTGATAAAACACTACTAAAAATACGGATGTGTGGGTTTTCAGTCTCCCCTTGGTTTTGTTCAGTGCGTGATGCAAATTGAGAACATCTAACCCCGGTAAACCTTCACGTTCCTTACTTCACGGGAGGTAGAGATCAACAGTTATCCGGCTTGAACTGTAGGTCCCCGTGGCCAGGGGATTAATTTCTACTACTTTTCACCACACATCGTTGTATGATACAAAACATCGTCGTGGTTGTGCAGTTCGTGGCGTTGGAAAATTATAGAGTAAAGCAATTTACAGGGATTTTCGCAAACTGGTCCAACCCATAAGCAGTGTGACAAGAGATGACGTTATTTTTGTTTTTGTTTAGTTAAAAGAACACTTTTAGTCCCCTTGTTTAAGTATATTTTTCATGATGAAAAAGGATGAAGCGATAACTGTCCCTTCAGTTATTTGGTCTTGACGTTTAGCCAGATAGTTTTTACTGGTTGAGTCGTATATGACTCAATACGTTGATAGTTCATTCAAAAACAGAAGATCCCATTGGGAGGTTTTTGTATGGGTGGGGGAAGAACTTGGAGATGACACAATGAATGATTTCCCTGCAAGCCAGTTGTTTTTCAAGGATGTGCTATTTGCAGCCACTCACCTCTCGCCACATCATTTTTAGCCCCAATAGGACATATATGACTTGTATGAAAAATGTTTACGGTTTAAATAATGTTTACTCAATTTCTCACTTTATCAAATATCGATTGATAACCCCCTGTCTGCCGCGACACAGGAAGGATGACCAATCATTTCATACTTAGAAAAATGTGAAGATTGGCTTCTTCCATCACCAGAGAAACCGGTTCATCTGTGTTGCCTGCATTTCATTTGATGAAAACTCGCAAATATGGTTCACAGCAAATTGTTACCTGAATCGGTAACTTCGAATATAACATTAATGTTACATATTGGAAGAAAAGCACGTAGTAGCGAATTAGCTCGTTTGGTGAGATTCACAGATTAATACATTACAGTTGATTTCATAATATTTAGTAGGAAAAACATTCTTTGCCGAATAAGAGAGCCACAAAAAGAAACGCATTTCAGTTCCACGGATTATGTGACATCCAGATGGTTTTGTCGTCCGAACACAGTAGATTCGTGCGTTTTTCCATAAGCATAGTTTGCATTGCCTCAGGGTTTGCTCATCAGTATCATCCATCACCCATTTAACGTTCCGTCCTTTTAATATTTAGATAAATATCTCAATGTAACAAATATTTTTTTCTATCCTCATTCAGGGTGTTCTTCCGTTTTGAGGCCGCATGGGACAGTTCGTTGCACGCGTCCCCGCTGTTAAATCGGGTGACCCCGTCGGGACAACGCGTATACATGACAATGTCGTGCTACTTGGATGTGGAAGGTTGTACACGTCCAGTGTGCCTGACCAAAGATCTGGCCATGATGGTGTTTCCACGCGAGTCCAAATTATCTGTACCGAGGTGTGTCTGTGTTTGTGTTGGTTTTCACTCTCTCTCTCTCTCCATAAATGTATTATACATTTCGGAGAGGGGTTAGTGGGGGTGTAGGAAATAGTCCCGTAATCACAGAAGCTTGTCTATGCGTAACTTTCATTACTGCTCGCTCAGAAACAGCGCATCGCAAGTGGGATAAATCGGATGAAGGAAATTCGCAACCTTTCTACGTCACATTAATTTTCAGTGNNGCGTGAAAGCTGTTCACAGTGTACGAATCTAACGCCGGTGCGTTGCTGCTGTTGTGATCATTCCATTACGTTTGCCTTTAATACTGGGAAGCACTGCGCAGCTGTTTCCGTCTTGTTGATCTGGACCGCATTCTGAACCTAGAAACTGGTGTTATGATAAGTAAGACTGAATTCTCGTGTAGACGGATCGTTCCATGACGTGGATAGACAAAACGAAAAACCCTCTGACCAGCTTTCCAGTGGGTTACAAAGGCTGGCAAGTAGACTTTCTTTCTGCCTCTCTCTTTCGTGCCGCTGACGAGGCTCAAAAACAAGGTGGAACAGCCCTTTGAACAGTTTTGGTTCAAGAAGCAGTCACAATGTTCTAGACAAAGTTCATCATACAATTAATTTGAAAAAGGGAACTTATTAACTTCGTTGATGTACAGTCGGTCTCAAGTGTTTCATATCTGTGGATGTTCGACCAATGGAAATAAAAATCAAAGCAGTAAACACTCACTTTTGGTGACTGAATATTACTAAAAATTTCGTCATCGCATACCATTTGAAGGGGGTAAAATATCTTGATCGCTTTTCCTCTGGTTTAGAGCTCACAAGGTGTGAAACGATTGGTAACAGAGTCAGGCTGATCTTGAAAACCACGCTGATGGTGCAATTCCAGTTAACATTTGGTTCACTTTTCTGTTCCAATGCCACAAAAGGTCTCACGGAAATATACATATTATTCTGTATCGGCCAACCTTGAACAGTCGATTTCGGATCTGTGTCATGCCGACTGCTGCCTCTGCATTTTCTTTTTTTTTCCAGAACGATCTTCATAATATGATGGGTCGAACTGAACCAGTTTAAGAGTCTAAAGAGACCTACGTTGTTATTAGCGAGACCCAAGGCTTCATAAAAGGGTCACTAGTATGGCAATCATCCGTTTTACTCCTTTTTGGTAGCGAGGCAATCTGTGAAGAGTGTATCTTGGGCTTGCCCCACTGATACCGATTACTCAAAATGATACCTCACCTCATAATTGGACGCATGTTCAGTGCTACGTGTGTTAATGGTTCAATCTACCCTCTGATTATGAAGAGTAAGTCGTTTTAGAGGTGGAGCTTAATCAGAACGAAAGTGGCGCTTGCTTCAGAAAAGTCTCAGTGACACAGGGTATTTCATGACGCAACCTAACGACCAGTGGGTAGGGTAGAGTTTCCAGTTGCTGTTTCTCGGTCATCTGTTTTTCACTCATCAGCGAAAGTTTCCAGTTATCCTCTGAATATATATACCCCCGCATTGATACAGAACAAAAATACACAAAAAAGTATTTATTTTATACAAAAACTAATGCGATTTCGGAATACTTACCGCAATAGCATGGAACAATTTGGTCCGAATGCTATCATCCAGTACTCCCTATGGGACTGACAGATTGAGTATTCTGAACTGCATATCTCTGAATTATCTAATGTTGCGTTTGAGTTACATTTGATAATTTTACTCTTAATAGTATTGCTTGTTACACAGAAACGCTGAAGTTGTACGAGTTGTGTCAAATAGTTTGACGATACGGGCACCGGTTAAACCTTCTCCAATCAACATGTATTGTAGCACGCAACCCTAACACCTTTCAATTTCTTAACCAAATTTTGCAACATCAACATTTGTAGAAAATAATTTTTTTAATATCCGTTGACTTCAAAATATTCCGATACTTTTTGATCTAACTCAATTACTACGGCGTGACTAAATTCTGTGCGTCGAGGCTAGAGGACGACGGGTCTTGGCTAAAGGATTGTGGGGTTTGGCTAAAGCCTGATGGGAAAAGGTGTAGTTTATCCTGCTAGGACCAATGTAGCAATAGAAAATAATTCTGACATTGGAGTTGCCTTTTGGGCATTCGCCATGAAAAGGATGGATAGCTTTTTCAACTAGCAAACCCCCCATCTGTTTGAACTGCTCGAGGAGCGAAAACAATATTTTTCTTTCGATGATAGGAACTAAGAATTAGTATTATTAATATAACTATTATTATTATCATTATTTATTGCATCTGACATCTGAATTAAACTTTTCCATCTACACTTCGTCACACAGAACCAGGCTAAGATCATGGGGTCCACTTCGAGTCATTAAATTCAGCACACAGGGTTTTGAGCACTGGTTCACTGGAAGGGCACACTATTTATGCTAAGCATCCCGCTGCTAAAGAAAAAGTCAAATGTTATGTTTGACTGAAAAAAGTCAGCTTGCAAATCCTTAGAAAAGCACATGCAAGGTAACCTTTAGGGTAATTTGAAGTAACTATACAAAATAGCATTGTGTTCAAGGTATATCGCCTGCAGGTTTACATTATTGAGCAAACAATTGCGAATTTTCTCATTTTATTCTGAGATCACCCAACCCCTTTCATTAGTCTCCCCGTTAATGAAAACCATCGTTCAGGAACTGCCATCTTTTTTACCGAATTTTACCCCTAGATTTATGTCAGACCTTTGATTGACCGACTCAGCCAACATGCAACTTGCTCACAAGTTACGCACTGATTGAAATAAAAGTGGGAAACTAAACATGATCAGCGGTGTGTAATCGCGACTTTCATTGTGATTACCTTTGACCACAAGATTTTTAAAAATTGTTTATTGAGAACACGGTGTTGATGGGATACCAAGTTTGGCATATCTGTCATAAGTGAACCATGTCATTTTAAGGGTTGAGCTGGAGGTCAAATACTTGATGCATAGGTCACGTTTGCTAATTTTCATAATCGGTCAGATGAGACAGAATATACGAAAACTGCCTTATGCAATGATCGCATAAAGGTATATAGAAAATCAAACAGAAGCCTTACTCCAGCTCGGTCTGTGGATCCCCGGACCATCCGAAGTGACTGGTCCTCTTTTTGCCTTTTTGTTTGTCCATTCCCCCTCTCGACCCATCCCGCTATGACACTACCTCGTTACCCGCAATCAATCCATCCGAACCTTGAATGAACAACTCCATCAATGTATTCACCGTCTCAATCACATGTCCCCTGATCATGCGTGCACACACAAACGCACACACACACACGCGCGCGCACGCACATATATGCACTTCCGTCCCGGTGTAGCCCACGTCTCACTCCTAACCCAACTCTGGCTCTTCTCAGGTCTTTGCGTTCATTGTGGAGCTCCTTCTGTCGTGTGAACGAACTGAACCGAGTTACCGGTGTGTACGATTTACAACTACGTTTACTAGTCGGTCATGGTGAGTTATTTAGGATTTCTTGTTTTCATGTATTTGCATGTGTAGTTCTTAAGTTTTCACTAAATTCCAGGAAGACTATTCCACTCTACCCGAAATGATCTGAGTCAGTTTGCATGGGCAGTATATGTGAGCTTCACATTGAATGTGTGGTAGGAAAAGAATGCCTAGGTTCACCAGTTTTTCACACCTAATGAGCGTGAAATTCCCACTTTAGTGATACAACCACTGGCAGTAACCCAAAAAATATTGCTGCATGTATAGTACATCTTTATAATCTGCATCTGCGGGACTATTTTTTTGGACATTCTTATGTGATCAATTTGCAAATCATCGCTATGATTTTCAACCTGGGTGTTCTTGGTCGCAGCGGCCCCATTTCCCATCACAGGCATCGACCTACTCCAGCATATCGATCTCATGGTCGATCGGAAATCCCTTAGGTTTGCAAACCGCCACACTAATCTCTCCGTAACCGGTTCGTAGGCTTCAGTGAACTCAGCCACACAGCTAGCTCTACGTCGAACCGATCCATGGAGTTTCATACAACGACCTGTTCGCTACGTTTCCCACCTCGATGCACTCGTCAGGTCCCATCCCTACGTTGACCACCAACGTCACGCACCAGATCCTCACCAAAGGCCCACTCCCGTGTTCGCAAGCTCACGGTGTCTGGGACCTACACACATGTCACATGTCACCCGTCTATTCGGAATAAACCGATTTCTGCGGAAACATCCAGAAAGCACTTTGTGGTTTACTAAGCGAAACTGCAAGTTTTAAGGGATAGGAGTTTGACTGTCGGTCCTCTGAACGCGTGCCGTCGATGACTAACTGGTCGGGATTTAGATCTGAATAATCGTCATCGACGATCAGTGTGACCTCAGCGTCAATAACATGGATCACTAGGCTTAGGCCTAACGGTGGACATGAACCGTTGCGTGGGCGAGCCAGACCTTGGCTCGCGATAAACTCAACGGTAAAATTCCGCTGAAGTCGTCATGTATGATTAAATGACTTATAGAGGTCTAATCGAAACAGAAGCAAAGGGTCCCTGTGAAACACTTGTGGGTTGCTATGGGCAACAGCATTTATACTAGAGTAAAGTTTTTTCCAAATACTAATAAACAAGCCTTGGTGAGTCTTTATGGCTGTGATTTTCGTGATTCATTTGTACTCCTCAGATAGAAAGGTTGAAAAGGTGGCGGATACTTCCATTTCGTCAATAGTGGATCACTTTGGTATACTTGAGAGTCAATGTGGTCTTTTTTATACACACGATCCCGAACATATGCAGCGCAGTGAGCATTTGATAAATTGAAACTGTCGACTATTTTGGACTTACAAACAGTAAAGGTTTGGGCAACTACTTATTTTGTAGGTTACCTAAGATGGAAGTATCTCCGTGCAGTTTATGACGATAGTGACTTATTCGAAAGTGCCAATTTTTGCTTGCGTACTTTCGAATAAGTGAGATTCACAGAAAACGGTTTCCTTCGTTGATTTTTATCAGGGTCACACGCTGCATCATTATTTGAAATTAATCTACGTTGGAAAAAAGCATTTCATCACGTGATCTCAACACACTCGTACTGACAGTTTTTTGTCTGTGCATATGTGTGCATACATGGATGGATGGGGTGAGAAAGAATGACATAAATTAGCAAATGTTCGTACAGTGGGCAACACACACACTCACAATCATACCCTGAGTTCAGTGCAATTTTGAAAATCCCAATTTCGATGAATTTTGAAGACGCTAAGTAATCACGCATCAGGTGAGAGGAACAGAATCGGAAAAATCGACATTGTTTCATTGAAGACGTATGACACTTAGACGGGAGGCGGGTGTTCTCGCAAAACTTCCTGTACACTCAGGTACTGTTTAACCCTAAATTTCTGTGTCACTCGGGGTTCTAGTGGCCCATTCGCAGACTTATGTACGGATAGCCACTGAACAGTTGATCTGTTGATCTATTCAATTACAATACAATGGGCGATGTACACTTGTGATGCCCTTGACGTCGGTTGAATGATGAGACAATTAATTATCCAGAGGTCTCGAATAGCTTAGAATTGAAGGAAGCGCTGTGGTTTGAGGCTTGATTGATGTTCACACTTTACAGTAGAGACACACTGTCGAATCGTAAGTTCCCGTTCTATGTGGGCGTCTACCAGGCCGGTCGCAACGAATAAGGTCTCAAACACCAGCTTGAGTCAGAATTATTAGGATGCGATGTAGAAAAACAGAAGTTCGTCCACAACATAATTTGATTCCACCTCTTGAATTTTCATAGTTACTCTGGTCGTGAATGATTCATCAGTTTGAGCCAACAAATGTGACAAACAAATGATCCTACTATTGTTATGATTCCAGAAAACGGTGCTAGTTTAGGATAGTTGTTTACGGGGGATTTCAAATGAGCCAGCACCCATTTGACATACATAACACAAAAATCTAATCAGAAACATACGATTGCAGTTCCTGGCCACGCGACGGATAATGAATGTGTAAATTGGTAGTTCTTCTTTGAGACCTAGCAAATTTCCCTTAGTGATCTTTTTGATTTTTGGTCGTTGGAAGCAATCACCAACTACAACACTACTACTAATTTGATCGACCGACTGACCAATTATTTGATCAAGCAATAAACTGCATTCCTTTTTGCTTTCAGATAAGTTTAATTGAATACATTTGATTGGAAATACTTGAAAATAAAATCATTAAACAGCATGTTCATCTATATCACGTGTTCAGATATGGGATTGGAGGAACTAGCCATAAAAACAAACACTACTTAGTACTCGATTGTCAAATAGGTTGTGTGCCTGTGGTTCTGTTCTCATTTTGTTGTCGATGCACACACGACCTAGCGCGTCCAATCTCCACTGTTCCGTTCAATTAGTTCCCACTGACAAATTGATGTGTCAGTGATAATCACGATTGACGTTGAGCAGTTGCATGGATATAAAAATAGTACGTTGCTCGATCATTTATTTCTATTCGCTTGATAATACTTGAGAACCTGGAAGCAGAAACGGTTTGTAAATTTGGGAATTGTCGTTAGAAATAATGAATTATGTTTCTAAAAATTAATTTCCGTGTGTAGGTCTGATATATATGGAGGGAAATGAATATAAAATAATGCACCAAAATCATTCTACACGTCAAAACCCAAAACTTCATTTTATTCTTATACGGCCTGTAGAGTGCACATGGCTGCTTTCGTGTAGTTCAATGAATGAGGAGTTTAAGTGGAATTGACGTCTATGCAATTCGTTTGACTTGTCTTTAACCAAAACTCCAGATATTTCCCGTTATTATTAACGAAAACGGTTAACGAATCTGTCCACCAATGAAATTGTTACCGGTACATGTGTTTAATGAATTTGGGGCTTTTCTTGTAAGCAGTGCAGACTTATACCAAAGGCTCAACAACTAATGGTGTTATAAACCCACAAGGCCATGATCCAAATGAATGATTCCTAATTGAAACGGGAATGGTGCATAGTCATTCTATGGTTCCCTGAAAGATTTTCAATTACTGATTATTAGTCTGCTTTCATCTTCCGTGGTTACCATATTGAATCCACCCAGGCGTTCCGGATATCTTATTCTCCGGTTAATCAATAGGGAATACGCAAATCGCTTCATCATGCGTACACCCAGCATACTACTCACTCACTTCAGTTCAGTTTAGTTTGTACAACCATTAGCCATGCACCTTCGTGTGGCGGTTTTGGTTGCTATCTTTTGGCTGCTCATTTGGATGAAGAATAGGAGAAAAAGGTAGAGTCGAACAGAAAATGGAAAATTTCAGTGGTCTATGGTTGCAAAGAAATTGAGAAGATGCACGAGCGCCACTGTTAACGACAGTCAGACATATCACTCAGTGTCTCTAACCATCGGCTACGATCTTCCCGAGGTCCCCAGCCAGGGAGCCTAACGGGATTTATGTGGCCCAGTACCTTCACTACTCACTACTATTATGAGCAGTGTTTCACGTCATTAAGGGAGGTTCTCTGTAATTCGTCAGTCCCTTTGGAAGTCAACGGTGCGTTTCATGATCTAAAGGATAGTTCGGAATGCGCGAGTTCAATCGGGATGGACGAAAAAGAGGGAATTCGTGTGGTCCCGTGAAACATTCAGCCACAGAACGGATATAGACAATATAGTCATCTACGGGTAATAGCTCAGTGAAACACTCGTAACCAAACGCAAGTTCACCCGCTGTTTGTAAGAATGCAAAATTCAGTACCGCTTGGGATCGTAAAAACTAGGGTCTAGCTGTCCGAAAATGGGCGTATTCAAATGTCACCGTGNCATTGGTATGATTGAGCAGCGAGGTTGGGATATCTCGCGTTTCACTATGCCTGAATATGCAGTTTAGTGTCATCGACAATGTTGAACTACTAACTTTAGATAACAGTAACATGCTCGCAACATGAGGTTTTCCTGTAACAAATTTTCTGTGCGTATGTGAGGAAGTGGTGTTGATAGATTAAATTCATGCAACTTCTTTCCAGACGGGGACTTTGATAACTGGGGTGGCTATTTTTAGAACTATTGGATGGTTGGTTTGAAAACCCCC